ATTTACCGGTTTTTCTGCCTCTCCGTGTTTTCTGACCATTGTTGCTCTACCTTTTAGACCCCGATTTTCTGTCCTAGCCCTTGATGCCCGACGCCGATCGCCTGACCTTTGCCTGTTTACCGACTTCGAGACCAGCCCAGCCCCAAGACCGATTCCGCACATCGCCCGACCCCAGCCCGTCCCACGACATCGATTCCGCCTGCTCCTTACCTCGTTTCCGAGCGAGACGTTCGCCAGAAGACCTCTCGGTTTTTGGACTTGTCTTTGTCTTGCTCTATTAAAAGCTCCTTGCACCGGTTTCCGCGCCAGTGTCCTCTTGGTTCCCTACCGATACCCTCACAGAAAGATCTCGCCAGAGGAAGATGGACCCAGCGGACCCGGTGAGCATCCAGCAGCTGGCCGATGCCCTGACCAGGCAGGGCTCCATTCTGAGCCGTCAGCAGACAGAGGTCGGTGCTGTGGGGGACTCTTTGGACTCCTTCCATGCGGGCTTGACAGCGCTGGCAACGGAGGTACAGCGCTTGCAGGAGACGCGATCGACCGCTCCGTCGACCGCTTCTAGCGAACCTCGTATACAGCCTCCTGGTCATTATAATGGGGAATCGGGTTCGTGTAGAGCCTTTTTATCGCAGTGCTCCCTCGCGTTTGAGTTGCAGCCCTCCGCGTTTCCTTCGGAGCGGTCGAAGGTGGCTTATATAATCATGGCTCTGACCGGCTCTGCGAGAGAATGGGCTACGGCTGCTTGGGAGGCCGATGCGTCATTCTGTCACTCTCATGCCCGTTTCCAGGAGGAGATGAAGCGCGCTTTCGACCGCTCGACACAGGGACGAGAGGCAGCGCGTGAACTCTTGCGGCTTCGCCAGGGTCATTACACGGTGTCAGATTACACCATCCAGTTCCAGACCCTTGCGATGTCCTGCGGCTGGGGAACGCAGGCTTTATTCGACGCTTATTACAACGGCTTGGCGGAGGACATTAAGGACGAGCTCATGGCACGGGAACTACCGGACTCCTTGTCTGCACTGACGGATGTCGCCCTACGGGTAGACACACGGATTCGTCAGCGTCGCCTACCGGAGGCGGTTCCGCGCACTCCATTGTCCAGCCCAGTTAACCCCATCGATGCCGGATCTGAGCCGATGCAGGTCGACCGGGCCCGTCTTTCTCCAGCTGAACGCCAACGGCGTTTCTCGGCCAGAGTCTGCTTATACTGCGGACAGGCAGGTCATTTTGTTGCCCGGTGTCCGGTAAAAGGGCACACCCACCAGTAGGGAAGAGGGTACTGGTGAGTGTGGTTCCGGTTAACTCCTCTTCGGTGCAGCAGACTTTTCTTCCAGCCGTCTTATCATGGGGGTCCGTTCAGCAGTCACTAGCTGTTTTGATTGATTCCGGGGCAGATGAGAGCTTTATTGACTCCACACTGGCTCAACAGTGGGGTATACCCACCGCCCGCGTCCAGACGACACGGACTGCCTACGCCCTGGATGGAAGGAGAATGGCTATTATCTCTCGGGTTACCATTCCGGTGAGTTTGTTGATAGGGGGTGCTCACGTTGAGACCCTTTCTCTTTTTCTGATTGACTCACCCCAGGCACCCCTGGTGTTGGGGCATCCTTGGCTGGTTCGACATAACCCTCACATTGACTGGGAGAGGGGCACTGTAATTGCCTGGAGTCCGTTTTGTTTCTCCCAGTGTCTACATTCTGGTCGACCCCGTGAGGTTCCTACACCGATGGAGGAGGCCCCGGATATGTCTGGTGTTCCGGCGGAGTACCACGACCTGAAGCACGCATTCAGTAAGTCCCGGGCCGCATCTCTTCTGCCGCATCGGCCGTATGATTGTGCGATCGATCTGCTGCCCGGGACCTCTCCCCCCAGGGGTCGTCTCTATTCCATATCAGGCCCCGAGAGAAGGGCTATGGAGGAATATATCAACGGTGCTTT